CAATACTGTTTTTATTTTTGACCTCTAGACCTAAATTCTGTTATGCTTGCTCAGTAGTATCAGAGAGCACAGACATTGTTTTCGATATACAAAGATATTAAAGTGACAAAGTCATGGACTCCTATTTTTACTTTTCTGGGCTCTGTTATAAATAACAGAGGAAATATGTGGCAATTGGTCAAAAAATGACTCCCCCTAAGATTTTTACATTTTTGGAGTCTCTTTACGTCTTTACACATGTTCAGTTACAGTACATGACGTTTTTAAACATTTAGGAGTCATTTAATAAATATAAAAAATATAAATACGACTTTACAAAGATAAAACTTTGTATTTTGTCCTTCCTTTTTGCCGTTTACACCATCAGCAGTCCTTAAAAAATTCACAAAGTTTCGGAGACGACCTTTCTTTTGAGGCTACTTAACGGCAAAAAGGAAGGACAAAATGCAAAGTTTTATCTTTGTAAAGTCATATTTATATATATATTTTTTATTTATTAAATGTGAATAATGCCGGCCATATACCTGTATTAGTTTTTTATTTAATTTATGAATCAGCTCAGAAAAAAGACATATTAAGAGAGCATATTGTACAACTGTATGAAAATAAAGCTAATCACTCAAAAACTTTTTGGTGACATTTTTAAGTCAAAAGCCATAGCAAATCAACTATATATAATATTTTGTAGTAGTATGAAAATATCTGGAACCAGTTTTATTCCATTGTAAAATAAGGCCAGAAAGTCAGTTGTTACGAATGCTAAAAACCAAAGAGCATTGTGACAAATGTTTGACAACAAAGATGCAGTTAGCCAGGTGGAGGTACTTCAATTGTCATCGAACATACATACGAAACATGACGCCTCAGAACACACTGCTGAAAAAAATGCCAAAATCTGAATGCAATGCAGATGGCTTATAAGAAATTTTGGAAACAAAACATTTGTTTTGAACAACAAGAAGTACTTCTCTCTCTGACATGCAAATTTTACTAAGCAAGCAATGAAAATCATAATAACGAACAACTGCACATCAGAGTTAACTAAACAACACGTACCTCAGAAAATTTTTAACCGATGCAAATTAAAATTTAACACTACAAACGTTTTCAGACCCCTCCTGGGTCCTTCTTCAGGTAAAGAATCGTTTGAAACGTTATTAAATATGTAAAACATTCGTTTGGAGCAATTTTTAAATCGGAAAGATAGAACGGAATCATGTGATCAATAGCTCCGAATGTCAAAGCTTCTACGTCATATCGAGAGTTATTTAAATAGTTTTTAATATTTGAAGACAAGTTCGTCCAAATAGGGATCACCATTTTCTCTTTTGCATTCTAGACAGTACATTTCCTGCAACCGACCTTCCTTTCTAGGCTACTAGCCGCCAAAAAGTTTAAAAAAAATCCTTTTAAAAAACACAAAGATTTTCTAAAATCAGAACTGGTGTTATATGAACAGATGGTAACAAAAAAGAAAGACATTGTATAACACCAGTTCTGATTTTAGAAAATCTTTGTGTTTTTTAAAAGGATTTTTTTAAAACTTTTTGGCGGCTAGTAGCCTAGAAAGGAAGGTCGGTCGCCGGAAATGTACTGTCTAGAATGCAAAAGAGAGAAATGGTGATCCCTATTTGGACGAACTTGTCTTCAAGTATTAAAAAATAGAAAGAACCATCGGATGAAAAAATTATGAGTTATTTAAATATTTTCCCTTTTTTAAAGATTTTATGAAGATCTTTGTTGTTAAGCATAAAAAACATATCACATAAACACAGACTACCCCTTTACTTCCCTTCTTTTAGGTTTACGATTCACTTAATCCTCCTGCTGTATTAGGGCCTGCCATGCCAAAGAAAGAGAGATCTCATCTCTGGAATTAATGGGTGATGAAGTGCTGTATGCTCTGTATATCTCTATCTGCTCCAACCATTTGAGATGGTCTAAATATGAGGAGGTGATAATCAACTTAGCATTTGAAAATTCTATCATCATCTCTGAATCAGACGCGTAAGTGGATAAGGAAGTGGAACATTTATTATGTTGAATGTCACGCGTGTGTTCTTTAGGTGGTTAGCTACATGCAAGCTTAAGAACAGAAAAGATTCTGTACAGGTGATCTGTTTTAGAGAAGACCTTTCACACACAGCTAAATGGATTCGCAGTAATAACCTTACTTTAATCAGGGCGGCTAAATCAAAGACTTTGGTGATCATGAGAAGGGAAACATATGAAAAGGGCCTTAGAGAATATATTGATGTCACCAGATGTGTGGAGGCAGAGAACAACGCCGTAGACAAGTTGCACTCTAGGATTAAACAATTCTCCAACACAAAGTTAGCATCAAGGTTAGGTATGCGGAATATCGTCATGGATGCACCGGACACCCCCAAGTTATTTGCATTTGCAAAAATTCACAAACAAGGCCAAAAATTGAGGCCAAACTTGAGGTTGTGGATAATGCCAAGGCCCCTACATGCAAGTTAGAAGTCTCTTTGCACAAAATGATCACTCCACATTTAGAAGGATACAGATACACGATCTCACCTGGTGGAATTAGCAGAGCTCCTCAAGGACACTGAACATCCTAGCTTTATCATGGTCCTGGATTTCTGCTCACTGTACCCTTCGATCGAGATTCCTCCTTGTTTTGGCAACATCAGGGACTTACTGTTTACAACCTTATGCAATGAAGAGTTCCATCAACAAGTTTTAGAGTTGTCCCACTTGATTTGTTACAGCTCTATTCTTTCAATTTGGCAGAGTTACGTACACACAGGGTAAAGGGGTCCCCATGGGCAGTTCTGTTTCTGGGGATCTTTGTGAGTTAGTAATCAGACAATTGGAGAATACAATACTTCCAAATTTCCTCCAAAACATCATAATTTACAAACGCTATGTTGACGACGACATCATTCTCTGGAGGGACTCTCCGAACATTACCCGATTTTTGGGTCAAATGGAACAACCTCTACGGTCTTACCCTGGAGGTTGAGCAGCATAGCGATTCATCTGTTCATTTTCTGGATTTGAATATTGACTTTGGAGGACTGATCATAGACACCTCTGTGTACCGCAAACCATCAGACCATCCAACATACATGTCGCAACAGTTTGGAGGAATGATGGCTCCTTCTAAAAGAGTTAATTTGATAAATGGCAACCAGAACGAGAATAAGCAGAGGGTGTTGATTACCTACAACCCACTATTGAAATCATTATATAGTAGAATTGCACAGCAGAGGGGTATCTCCCTAGCCTTCAGAAGATGCCCATTCATATTTCATATTCTATGCAATGGAAAGGACAAGTCTAAGGAGGAAAGACTGCCAGGTGGTATATAGAGTATCACTTAGAAACCACTGTTTTGGCAAGGACTTAATTTACATAGGCTCAACGAAATGTGCTGTTGGGATCAGGTTGAAAGAACACACGCGTGACATAAGTAAATGTTCCACTTCCTTATCCACTTACCCATCTGATCCAGAGATAGTAGCAGAATTTTCAAATGCTAAGTTAATTATCACCTCCTCATATTTAGACCATCTCAAATGGTTGGAGCAGATAGAGATATACAGAGCATACAGCACTTCGTCACCCATTAATTCCAGAGATGAGATCTCTTTCTTTGGCATGGCAGGCCCTAATACAGCAGGAGGATTAAGTGAATCGTAAACCTAAAAGAAGGGAAGTAAAGGGGTAGTCTGTGTTTATGTGATATGTTTTTTATGCTTAACAACAAAGATCTTCATAAAATCTTTAAAAAAGGGAAAATATTTAAATAACTCATAATTTTTTCATCCGATGGTTCTTTCTATTTTTTAATACTTGAAGACAAGTTCGTCCAAATAGGGATCACCATTTCTCTCTTTTGCATTCTAGACAGTACATTTCCGGCGACCGACCTTCCTTTCTAGGCTACTAGCCGCCAAAAAGTTTTAAAAAAATCCTTTTAAAAAACACAAAGATTTTCTAAAATCAGAACTGGTGTTATACAATGTCTTTCTTTTTTGTTACCATCTGTTCATATAACACCAGTTCTGATTTTAGAAAATCTTTGTGTTTTTTAAAAGGATTTTTTTTAAACTTTTTGGCGGCTAGTAGCCTAGAAAGGAAGGTCGGTTGCAGGAAATGTACTGTCTAGAATGCAAAAGAGAAAATGGTGATCCCTATTTGGACGAACTTGTCTTCAAATATTAAAAACTATTTAAATAACTCTCGATATGACGTAGAAGCTTTGACATTCGGAGCTATTGATCACATGATTCCATTCTATCTTTCTGATTTAAAAATCGCTCCAAACGAATGTTTTACATATTTAATAACGTTTCAAACGATTCTTTACCTGAAGAAGGACCCAGGAGGGATCTGAAAACGTTTGTAGTGTTAAATTTTAATTTGCATCAGTTAAAGGTTTTCTGAGGTACTTGTTGTTCAATGAAAATCAAGCACCTCCTGAAGAGAAGTACAAATTTAAGAAATTTGCAGCAAAAGTCATGCTGTACATTGTCATTTCACCAGCATAGGTTTCAAAGTCATTTTTAAAGAAGGAATGTATCCCTTGCAATTGATGAAGACATGTACTGAAACAAATATCTAAAAAAATTCTAATCCCTTTTCTTGAAAGCATCATTTTGATAATGATTGTTATCTTTTGACCTGACAAAGCTTTCTATCACTGCACAAATTTGACAGTCAAAGCCTCAAAGCCAAAAACATTCCTTTTTGTATCCAAAGAATATAATCTGTCAACTCTGTCACCATGCTGACCAATTGAGGATTTCTTTGGATACTTGGCATAATATACAAGGTTGGCAAGCAAAAAATACTACACAGCCTATCCGTAGAATCAGACTCATTTTAAAAAATTGACACAAAGGCCAGCCAGAGTTGCAAGTCTATCAAAACAAGCTTATGGTGCATCACTGACCATGGACAATGTGAGCCTGTTCATTAATTCTATACTATTGTAATTAAATTTCATTTCAAACAAATGGAACATAATGATTCTAGAACTAAAAATTCAAAGTGAAAGAATGCCAGACTTTTAAATAATATGGTAATGAAAAATACACCAGGAGGAATATCCTCAAACTTAACATGGAAAAGACACCTTGCATGCCTTGTGGAAATTGAGCTTTTCCTTGATCTTGCACGCTTTCAGAACTTAAACATATATGCAATAAATTATATTCACCAGAATTAAGTTCTATTCAATTGCCAGTTTATCCTGAAGGTGATTAATGAAAAACATGTTTGAAAAGTATCACTGCATTTTAAGATTTCTATTGTAGTATGGTTATTTCATCAAAATTACTTCATTATTCTAACATATTTAAGAAAAATTTTTTATATTTGTTAGTTGTGCTATTAGATTTTTCAACTGATACCTACATAAGCATAAAAAATAGAGTATAAAATTTACAGAAGAACATGATTTATTTGATCCTACTGATATTTAAATAATCATTCTTTTTAAAACAGTTTCATGAATTTATATTTCTTAATTTACAATGAATAATATGTTTAATGTAATTTGAACATTATTTTATTTAAGAACATGTAAATATTCTGTAGAGGAATGTTTCATTTTAGACATCTTATAAATATATATAATAAAGAAGAAAATATAATAATTTTGTTAATACTATACTGTACAAATCTCAATTTCAAGTTTTAAACGCAATAAGTAAAATAATCAAAAGTACGGTAACAGAAGCAAGTATAAGTATACACATCATTTTATGATTTTTACGTTGATAATTTTCTGCTTTCTGCAACTGGTGCAATCCTTCATGAACTTTAGTCTGAACTTGTTCCAAGTTATAATCAATTCTATCCAATACTGTTCCCTAAACAATGAATTTTTTTAAAAACATTAAATCAAGTATTTAAAGTATATTTTAAATAAAAGATATATAACTAACCTGATCAACAACAATATTTGCTAGATCTTTAAATATTTCATTTAATTCTGCAATGGAACGTACAATCCTATTTATTTCACGCTCTCTCTGTTCAATTAATTGGGTGTTATCTTCAAGTAAGAGTTGTTGCTCTTTAATAAATTGCTAAAAAAAATAATTAATTAAAAATGAAACAACAATATGATTTAAATTTTTATAATTAAATATTGTAACCATTCTTATCTCACTTGATCAAACATTTTTTCTGCATAATTATCTTGAAAAGAAGAATCAGTAGATCCAACTAAAAGAGGGGTATCAAAAAACTCTTGAGATCTTTCTTCCTGTGATTTTAACCCTATAATGAAATGTCCATGGGAAAAAAATATATTTAACAGAATTCATTAACTTTATTCTGCTCTTTTTGCTTTCAAATTTATATAAATATTCAAAACACATTTCAAATAGAGAATTCTCAATGTCAAGACAAGAAAATACAAACATGAGCTATAATTACTATAACTTTACTATCTGAAAGATGGTAAAAAGCTTTGGGAAATTGAAAATATTCTTCTCTGTCATTTCTTTCATTTTAATAATTTTTTCAGAAACAAAATAATCAACATCAATCTGTTTAAATACACAAGTAAAAAAATCTGGCTTTATATCACTTAATATTAGCATTGTTTAAGTGTTGGTATGAAAATTTATGAACACAGTTGATGGAAGTTAATGTAAAAAAACTTCCATTTTACCAAGTTTACAGCTCTAATAAAACTTTGATAACCTTCATCCCCTATTGATTGTAATAACTTACTGCCCTAAATATATATATGCATTGTCAGAGAAAACACCTTGCTAACTCTGGCTTTTTTTAATTTTATAATCAGCTCTACAGTTATGCTGCTGAATTTAAAACTAAATAAAACCTATTATAACTACAAGAAATGAGCTCAAAAAATTTCATGTGTAATATACAGTAATTTACTGCACAGTATAACAGACTTCTGGATATTGAAAACATTGTGCAATCATTTAAAATTCCTTGACAATAAAAAATTATAGTTACAATGTTTTCACAAAATTGTGCAGAGTTATGCAAAGTCTGAGTGGGAGTTCACAGTATTGTATTTCCCATTGTTATAGAACAGAGGACAGTATTGTAAATGATCAAATTTTGACCCTCCTGGTTTTTTTTTGCATTTCTTGATATTTTAAGCTAACCTGGTATCATAAAAACAGGCACAAAATTCTGTATATACAATAAGGATGGCCTGTATTTTGCTTTATATCTCATTATATTGATTAATAAATTTCATATGTTTTTATGTAGATCTTATTAAGTGATTTAGAAACTTTGGTAATTTTTTTAATAAGAATTTTCTAAAAGAGAAAAAAAGATCAGTCTTAAGTATACAGTACACTATAATTTTTTGACTTTATAAGGAGAAAACTTTACATTTTGGAGATTTTAAGAAGAAGGGGAGTTAGAGAGGGTCAGACAATGAAAATTTTACTCATTAATGAAAACTTCAATGTATTTGTCTGACTCTTTTTGGTACTTGTTTAAAATTTTCCAAAAAAAATTTCCCAGTTGTAAAACTACATAAAATATTTTCTTTTTGAAGCAGATTCCAGATAATATCCAAAATTTAAGAAAAATGTTTCATTTTTCAAAGTGGGAAAAAGTCACATTCTTTTATTGGTAATGATCAATGTAATATCTAATGTTTGCAATAATTCTCAAATAAACATCATTTTTATTTGTTTTATTTACTTTTAATTTCAAAATTGAGATTTTTATTAAAAAAAATGAATGCACTAGTTTAATAAAGTATTTTTATCATCATTTTTAAAATATTATTTTTTACATTTTTTTTTATTTTCTATTATTTTTTGAAATTTATTTCTTTACTTGATTTCTTCAAGTAGTTGTTTGTAAAAAAATATTTTGCAATTTAACCAGTAAAGATTTATCATTAGGAAATATTCTGAAATTGAGATTGGTAAGATTATGCTTTATGCTGTGACAAAATGAAAATTAGATATGGGGGTTGGAAATTTAAGTGATCACAGGAAAGGTATAACACTGATTCAATTTTGCAGTCTCTAAATATAGTCTAGATCCATAACCCATTTTCATCTGTGTAGTAGCTACATAATGCCGTTAGTAGGCCCAAATGTGTCGATGTCATGGATGATGAACTAAATGCATGTATAATGTCAGGAATTGTGTGGAAACAAATGCCTTGTAAAATCAAGGTTCCTTGATTTTAGAGAATGAAAAATCACAGGGACTAAGATCTGGATAGTATAATGGTGGATAGCACCTTCCAACTCCATGTTGCAAACAGATCACAGACAACACCAGCTACATGAGAACAAGTATTGTCCTGGTGGATAATGGGTGTAGTAGTCAGAGAGTGACATAGTTTCTTCCATAGGACTTCACACAGGTTGCATTGCAAGAACTATTCATAATATTGAGCATTTATAGTTTAGCCATTGCTTACTTCATAAGTACTTAATGTATCATACAGTTTGTCCACTTGCACCACTGCAATCATGTTGCAGTGCAATGACCATTATATAATGATGGTGTTGGTATATACAAGGTCAAACCTTCACCCATCAGGATCAGACATATCACTATTTCCTTCCAGCACTGAGGTGATCACTATTAAATTTCCAACCCTTGTATATCTTTGGCATTTATTATTCACTAAAATTGTTAACATTTATTATTTTGCATATTTTACCTATATCTTCATATCAACTGTTCCAACAGATATTGGAACAGTTGATATGAAGATTGTGTTTGTGAAAAATTGTGAAAGTGTTTGATGTTGAATTTATAATTTAAAATAAAAAAAATTCATTAAAGTATTATTAGTCATTATATTAATGAAAAAATTTATCTCTACCTGTATTTAAATGAAAATTTAAAATCAGAAAAATTTTACATAACTTTAATTTGACAATGATCATTTTCATATAATTGTGGTAAAATAATTTCAATAGAATATTAATACAAAACCAGCCAATTATCTGGTAAGTGTGGGACCAACAGTAGTCCAGATTTCTGAATTTCCTGATTTTCTGGACACAAGCTAAATATATATTTAAATACAATTTCATTGTGTGTGTTTAAATGTAAAATAAACAAATCAAGCATATCTTGCTTTAGAAATGTATTAATTATTATTAATCCTCTTAAAATATAGAATCCCATGTACAGTGAAATACTTAGGATGAAAAGTAAAAAAATAATTGAATTGGTATCATGTCACATATATGCCATAGAAATCAAACAAATCAGCCACATAGCAAACTTTACTATAGCCGTCCAAATTCAAAACTAGCCAATTTCCTGGTAATTTTGGATTTCTGGAAGCCAGATAATTGTTCTGATACTGTATTAGTTATTATTATTAAGTAATAGATTAGATTGTATATATTAAATTAGTAAATTCAAAATTAATTTTTATATAATGAATGAATATAAAATTTATTAACATCTCACTTCTTAAGTATGTTGATTGAGCAGATCTAAAAGTAGAAGATAATTCTTGAAGTGAAGTAACTAAACATGTTACTACATTTTTATTTACTCTGGAATCCTGCATACTGCTTCCTTGGCTCTTAGAACGAATCTGATGAACAAGTCTTTGGCAATGCATAAACATCTAAAATTTAAGACTAAGTTTAGTACATCAGAATTACTGAAAATTGATTTTTCTAAATCAACATAATAAAACTAAAATCCTGAATAAAGTATTAATCATATAGTATATGAATGCATGAATGATTATAAATTTCACATTGATATTCATCTTAATGTATATGTTCGTATACTTGAAGCAAATTCTTGATTGGATTTACACACAAAAGGCATGAAAATTAAATTCCAGGATGGGTCCATTACAGACAAGAAGAAAATCCAAAGTTTGATTGACTGTCAAAAGAACAGATAACTTCTTGTGAGTGATGTTACGAAAAACTCCTGAACACAGTCATACTTTCTTTACATATATTACAATGATTTTTCATAATAATTATGGAACAAAGAACACACACAACTTTTAAAATTTTATATTTGTTCATTTGGTTTGTTTTATTTTAATTATTATTAAAATTGAATAAAAGTGTAAATAAAACTTATAATTCATAAAATTAGCATATGAGTACATGCTTTCACTTCACATACATGTTTTGAATCTCATTTTTAGATGGTTTCTGCTACATCCAAATACACAGTCTCTTTTATCATGATAAGTAAAAAAATTTTTGACTTAGCTCAAGATTTCCAGGTATTTGATAATTTGCTTAAATTAAAAAATATACACTTTATGAACATAGATCAGGAAGAAAATTCTGATTACAAACTTAACATAATATGTTGTATTACAATGAATAGTTATTCTAGCTAATCTTTTGCAGCTGTTATAGTATGTGTAGCTTCTCATTTCAGAAATCAATATTTATAAATAGGGTTTGATATATATCACAGTAGGTAAGCTACATTCATTTTAATTTAATTTAGCATTGATTAATACTACTTAAAAATTTAATAAATAATATATTTAAATAAAAGTTCTGAAAATATACTATTTTAATCTGTAAAAAATTAAAATAAATATATTATTTCTAAATTAAAAATGGATCTATTGTTATAAAATGTCGTCATTATAATTTTGTTTATGTGAAACTCAATATTCAAATAAAATATAAATCAACTTGAAGTCCTTCATTTGTTTTTTCTTTAAATTTGAAATGGAAATTAAGAGCCATTTTTTACAATACTTTTTTCTATAAAAATAGCATAATGAATCAGTTTTCTTCTTATGTCTTATGCAAAGGCATATTCTGGATCAGTGATTCTCAAATATGGCCATGGTAGCCAAATGAAGCTACCAAGATATTTCTATGCAGCCACCAGATATATATTAAATTTCAATATAAAAAAAGAATTAAAACATTTAAATCCAGGGTGTTCCATGTAAAACTGGCCCCACTCACCAATTGAGTAAATTACTGTAATCAAGGATGAAAGAAACTCTTGGAAAACTTGCATAATCAACACTTGTTCATTAAAGTAACCATATTTTACTCAAATTGGAGAATGTGATAGAAATGACTGTTAGTTATATAATATAAAATCACACTGTCGGTTTTCAGCAGCCAACAATAAATTGTTTGACTGGTGAAATTACATAAACTTCTACATTGAAAACTAAAAGAATCTCAAAATTGTCAAAAATTGATTTAATTTGATAAGAAATTTTGGAGATGTGAGGATCAAGGTGCAATTTTGTGTAAATTTAAGTAAATTCTTCTGCCTAGTTCTTTATCATGATCATAAAGAAAACATCATGGAGAAAAAGGATTGAATATCAACCATTTCTATCAACAACTAGATGAGGATTGTAACATCCAATTGTTAAGTTAAACAATCTGTTGTTAGAGAAGGGAGAAAGTTGACTGTCAAATGAGTCATAGCAGAAATCGAACCATATATGGACATGACAGCTGCATTTGGATGATGTCATAATGTCAGCAACGGTAACCATACACCTCACACCTGCAGATTCATCATCCAAACAATCAACCATATGACCATTTTCCCAGGCCAAATAGAATATAAGGATGCAGCACCGAGACTTTGGGTCATAGCCCAAGGAAGTAGCATTAGTCCCAATGAAGCAGTGTTTGTCCTCAGCCCCATGTTGGCCATACATAGCAAACACCAGTGGACTTCAGTAGACGCCATATCCAAGCAAACACTGCCAGCCACTTTATTCCAGTGGATCCTGTCAAAATGCCATAGCCAGTTTGACATATCCCAAGACGCCATATAGAACAGACTCCTTCCAATGCTCCCTCCTCGCCCTTATCATAGAAGATTACGGCTCAACCTCAATCAAGACAGAGAATAGCATCTCAATAGCATCATTCTCAGAGGTATTTGAAGTAGAAATTTGTAAACTCTCTCTCTGGAAACACAATGAGTGATGCAATGCTTAAGCATAACAATTCATTGTGTAGATTAGTCGCTTTCGTGTAACTAGCTTGAAATATATAGCAATTTCAGTATGGATGTAATAATACAGGAAATGAAATTTCAGAAACTGCAATGAGCAGTTTTGCAACTTTGTTTTGATGTTGTGAAATATTCCTATCTATTTTGATTTGTTTTGATGTTGTGAAATATTCCTATTTGTATTTAGTTTTAGATATATGTAATAAACGCTTGTATTTATATACAACCTGTTTATCTATCTTAATCGAAATGCCTATCGACTTACTCGTGACCTCCCCACTCAAAAATTAATCAACCCACCTACTCATCTAAGATCTGCGAGTTAGGACAGATGTATTTATCCTAACTGATGTCAATTCCTGACCGGAAGCCGCTATCATTCGATTTGCATGTTTCTGATAACCAAACAGCCCTTCTAGCCATCCAAAGACCTCATGAGCGGTTTCCGTACAACTGTGCCGATTAAGTGGCAAGAAGGAAGCCCCCTTTTTGCCCCCAGCTTCTCACAGAGATAACATATTTCAAGGAATGAAATCATTAAGATTATAGCTGATATCCTACATTTCCAGCTTCTTGTAAAATATTGAAAACTGTGTGACATTTGGTGATAGTTCTCTGTTACATGCTGCATTTATCTATCTTACATTATTGCTAAGTTATATTACCTGGGTTTTCTTCCATATCTTAATTTCATTGGGCATATATTTAAACACTTACAAGCTACAATGATGATTGGATCTTCAGTAGTAATTTTTCTTCTTTGCGATTGCATTGCTTCATAAAGATAGTAGTTTTTGTTTATTTTATTATATATTTCTATTATTTAAATTAAGAATTTCAGTATGGATGTAATAATACAGGAAATGAAATTTCAGAAACTGCAATGAGCAGTTTTGCAACTTTGTTTTGATGTTGTGAAATATTCCTATCTAATAATGGAAATATTTCACAGTATCAAAGGAAAGTTGAAATTTTCAAGAAGAAAAAACTATCAACAATAGGTAAAAACTCTATTTAATTATATTAAATAAAATAAAAAGCTAATGCAGTTGAGACCATCTGTACAATTTATAAAATGACTATTCAAAAGAAATCTTACACTATGCAGCATCATTACAAGAATTGAGATGGAAACTGAGAAAAATTGTCAACTTGACATTCATGCCATAAATTCATTGAAAATTTTAAAAATAATGTGGTTTCTCAAAGGAAACAGATGACTCTCCTCTCAAGAACTGACAAATTGTATTTAGGATCTTTGAAAGTGTGTTTTGATCTGAAAATATTCCAAATCTTTTACCAAAGATAAATTTTTGAAATTATTTTTATGATAATAGATCCTGAACCCAAATTATTTTAAAATATGGCTTCTATAATGATTCAATTCAACAATAAATTAAAGAATTAAATGTATTTGCAGACCAAAAAAAGAACCAATAAATAAAAGTCATTTTTTATAGTTAACAATCAGTAATTTCAATACTGAACTAAATGAAACATTTCAAGAACTTGATTTCTTTACATTAATTCTTTCATGGCACCTCTTTCAATCAATGGATACGTAAAGTTTTGAATTATTACACAACAGACTATTCTTATTGTTTGCTATGTCAACACTTTAATGGAAATTTGTAATGATGATTGAATGAACATGTTTTCAGAGATACAGATCTGTCCAAAATGGTAAAATTGCCACATTTCTGTAACAATTCAACCAAATAACTAGCTACAGTTCACTATTTTCACTGATAATCCCAACACCAGTTTCTGTAACCTTTTAGTACACTATATTTTATCAAAAATAAACATTGTATCCAATTAACAGATGAGAACTTGGAGGAGGCTATAAGACTAGCATTGAAGACAGAAGTAAAAGAGAACTTTCTTTTAAAAAAATTATTAAAATAAATATAGTTTATTCTATTAAACTAAAAGCATCATTTGCTTTTCATAGAAATATATTGAGTATTACTTACTCTTGTAATATCCTGAGTTAAAATTTCAATTTCTCGTTCTTCTGCAGTACTGTCATCTAATGTAGGTCTATTCATACGCTTGTCATAAAGTATGGAGATTTCTTTCACTGTAGAGTCACAGAGGGAATTCCCACTTTTATCCCACTTCTAGATAACAATCAATATTTTTTTTAACTGTAGAAACACATTCAGGATGTAACTTTGAAGTTTTTTTTTACACGAATTACTTTCAACAAATATTTGGAACCATAAAATTGGTTTAATTTTTAGTTTTAATACATTTAAAGAAGACATCATCTGATGTTGTTTCTAAAGTTTCAATATCTTAAATATTATAAAATAAATATTTTAAATTAGCTAGCTATATTATTAAAGTAATATAAAATACAGAAAAATCTACTTTTAATTTTTTAGAAATCTTATAAAAGGAGAATCTTAAATGGAAGTGTGTATGAAAAATATTGAATATGTAAAAATACATATTCAATATGTTTTATACACATTTCCAAAAATTATATTAATATCCTACACCATACATTTTAATCTAAATTTATAATTGGTTCAATTTAGTATAGAACATTTGATGAAAAAACACTATAAAAAAATTTATGTAATTTTCAGTAGAACTTCATTCTAGTTATGGTTATGCAACAGTTATAATATTTTAATGCATTAAAACATTAATAAATGAGCTTGTTAGATAGATTTTTAGAGAGGAAAACAATAAGCAGATTTTACTGTAAATAAATAATTAATTTGACATTCATAAATTTATGAATTAATTATAATTTTAACAAACTAATCATTTTTGATGGCATTAATCTGAAATCAACAAAATGATAAATGTTGTTGATTTCAGATGATCAAAGTAATGTTATACAAATCTAAATTTCAATCAATCAATCCTTCATTGCATGAAGTTTAGTTTGTTACAAGGGTAATTTGTTACAAAAACAAAATCAATAATAATATAATATTTAACAAAATAATTTAGTACAAAATAACACAAAGTAAAGCATAAAGTAATAATCAATTTTTGAGAAGCACAATATATAATTAATAATATCTTTCCAAGCCTTAAACCTTATTAAATACTTATCCCTATTAACTCTAAATTTTACACAATGAAGAAATACATGTTCCCAAGTTTTGTATACTTGCATGGTACAGTTACTACATATTTTTTCTGGATCTATTGTTAGTCTGCTATTATACATTAAGATATAATTTTGACCGCATCTCAGATGAATGATTAATCATTTAACAATAATTTATATCAATAAGCAAATAATCTTCCCACATAAATGTCATTTTAATGCTGATATATAATTGAAGTGCTTATTCTTTTCTAACAGAGACCAATCTTCTTGTATACTTTGTTCACAGCACAGTTTTATAATTAACAGTTGATAACATTTGATCAAATGAGGATACTGAGATAGCCATAGAAAAAAAAAACAAGTCAATCCAACAGATTTTGCAATGCCAATGCCCCATTATATGTGCAATCCTTTGTTGTTGAACACAATCTGTGAAGTTTATCATATTCTAGTTTAACATAGCTTTTATAGTCTAATTTGATGAGATGTATGCAAAATAAAATTATTACTTTTATTGTAATTACTGATATTCTGGAAAATCCAAACTCCAATCGCAACATGTACACTGGAATTTTATTGTATAACATGAAAATTTTTCTAAAATATAAAACAAGGACGATTTCCAGTTTATCATAGTAAGTGATTGCCCATATAGGAGTGGCCTAGAGTAATACAGATGAAATCATTGAATGAAATAATTTTATATAAGTAGAAGCAGAGAAAATAGGAAACATAGAACCCAGTGCCATTTTAGTATATGATTTTTAGCCTGTAAGAATTGTTCGGAAGAAGAAAATAAAACTCCCAAGTACAGTAATACCCCAAACTTATGCGATAGGTGAGACTGAGTGTAAGTTGGGGTATAATTTTGCATATAAATACATACAAATAATTTTTAATTGGGGCCGGAGACTAAAGAAAACAATAATTTAGAAAAAAATGTTTAATAAAATCTTAGATAATACATATGTATAACAAATTAGGCCTATATTATTTTACAATTTTTCACATTTACTTGATTATTACGCCATAATTTTAACATTGTTTCCATCTCAGCGATAATACTGTGACGTTTACGAATGATGCTTGAATTTAAAGATTGAGCATTTTTCACAGCTTCGAGAATTTTTTCTTTGCCTTTTATAATTGTTCTGACCGACAATTCCGGTAGATCAAACTTCTTTGCCAATTCACAAATTTTCATTTTTGTATCGAAGTCTTTAATAATGGGTACGTTCGTAGTCAAACGAGTTAAATGCTTTAGTAACAAATCGTTCGAAAAGTCTAACGAAATAGGAATAATGATGACGTCATTCTCATTTAACTCGTTCAACTTTACGAACATACCCAATGTTAACTTTATATTCCAAAGATAAAGTTTTTCTTTTCTTGTTTGATACAGAAGAATTAGTTCTACTTCGTTTGGATGACATAGTAGAGTCTCTCAAGTCTCCGTAGATATAACAAACACAGAAATAAATAACACAAAATAAATTGTAGCTATGTGTGGATTCCGTGCGACACATCCGAACATGTAAGCTGAACAATAGTGTGGGGGAAGTGAGTAATCAAGGGTTGCATGGCGCTCAAACAAAAGACGAATCGACGAGATTTGAAAATCGCATAACTCCGGGTTCGCGTAAGTCGGGGTATTACTGTATGTGTAATTTGAAGCAACTTGTAAATGTTGATTGTTCAGAAACCATCTTTCTCTAGGTGGCATTCAACCTCCCTTCTTGAATACCATTATCTTTGTTTTTGAAATATTTATAGTTAACCCATAAAAAATTCCTCTAGGATTACAATTTTCTTTTGTAGCATTAGTGCAGAGTCAGCCAAAATTACAGTGTCATCAGCATACATTAGTGCAGTGTTTCTCAAAGTTTTTGGTCTGCAACTCCCTTTTGCACTTAAAAATTTCAAAGGACCCCCCTGAAAGAATGGATATGTGTAGAAAAACATCCTGAAGGGGGGATTAATTTAAATTCAGAAGGAGTTAATTTCTTTTGTTTAATTGCATTGAAACACTCATAATTTTAATAGCAGATTTATTTTTAGTATCAGTAAAAATTAATAACTTATCTTTGGAACATCTTTGAACAAAATATTCTATGTATATGTTTCGACATTAGTAAACTCAATTAGTTAAGTTAAACATATTTTAAATTAAATTTAATGTGATGGGTGAACCTGCTTATTTTGGCACAATAAATTAAACCTGGGTTTAATATCAGTCAGGTCTCATAGCGATTTCTATGTTGCAAAGACAAGAGTGCTGCTTTGTTTTGATGTTGGTCATTACTGAAAATGCCATTTTGCATAAATAAGTGGTTGCAAATGGTAAGAGAACTGTCATTGCTAATTCAGAGAGTAGTGAATACTCTGCTTTCACAATAAGCCAAAAAGAATCTACTATTTCTAAACATGAATCCTGATGATTAACCTGACAAAAGTGAAGACATTTTAGTCTTTCTACATATTTTTTATTAACATAATACTCTTTAACTGTAAGCTTATAAGTGTTTTGCATTACTCTTTTTATTCAAATAAACCTATAACTAAGAATATGTTCCACCATTTTCATTTATTTTATAAGTAATCAGACAATTCTGATTATCTAAAATAACCAGAATTATACTGCAATATTGTACTATATAATTTTCTATTCTATCAAGAACAACTATATTTCGTAAGTATATGTCTTTAAAATTTCAAAGCATTAAATTCTTTATATTCTACATATATTTTATTATAAAATATCTGCAGAATATAAAAATTGATAAATAATTTTGCTCAATAACAAACATTTTGTAAATGTATTTGATTGTCTTAGTTCTGAAAAAATAAACACATAAGTGCTAAATATATAGCATGACTAAAAATATCTAATCAAAAATACTAATGTTAATCAATAATGAATTAAAATAGCTTTTGAATGTAACTGTTTCTGAATAAATTACATTTATTCAANAATTAGTAAATTCAAAATTAATTTTTATATAATGATGTAGTACAATATTTATATTCTACATATATTTTATTATAAAATATCTGCAGAATATAAAAATTGATAAATAATTTTGCTCAATAACAAACATTTTGTAAATGTATTTGATTGTCTTAGTTCTGAAAAAATAAACACATAAGTGCTAAATATATAGCATGACTAAAAATATCTAATCAAAAATACTAATGTTAATCAATAATGAATTAAAATAGCTTTTGAATGTAACTGTTTCTGAATAAATTACATTTATTCAAAATTATACTTACTTTTTTGTTTTATCTTGGTCATTTCATATTGTATCTGCAATACAGTTTTAAATAAGTCAAGGTTTTATATATAAACATGCTGATTTTTTAAAACACAAAGTGGATTTATTATTCTTTCAATACATTAATAGAAGATAATATAAATTACCTGAATATTGCACTTTAGGATCTATTAATATTTATTATTAAACATTTGAAACAAACATAATTTGTATTATTAATAAAGATTATTTTTCATATATTAATATTATTTCAAAGGCTGTTTTTGATTCAAAGAAATAAATATATAATGATGATATTGTCAATAACAATAACAATGGTAACCAAAAATAATAAACTAGGAAAAGTTTATTATTATGCAGGTTTTAGAAACTGGATGCAAATGTCAAAATAAACACTTCAAAAAACCAAAATATCCAGCAAACAAATGATTTAATAAGTAACTAACAAACATTTTCAACTATTTTCATTGCTCATCATCAGATTTACATTATATTAGAACAAACAGGAATATATAAATTTTAAACAAAGATGGAATACCTTATTGGATGAGATTGTGAGCAACACAGATAATGCAAGCTTATCTTAGTTTTTAAAAAGTGTACAATAAGTTAAGCTTTTAAAATTCCTATATTCCTGTTTATGTTCTATGTTTGAATATAATGTATGCTTGATGATGACCAGTGAAAATGGTCAAAAATGCATGTTACTTACTAAATCATTTGTTTGCTGGATATTTTGGTTAGTTGGTGTGTTTATTTTATAACCATTTCAAATATTTAAAATTTTTAACACAGATCTTTATTTACATAAATAAACTTTGCAATAACTAACTGTTATCATTTGTGTTCACATAATAGATTTTTCTTTACTAACCTGCATAAATAAGTTCTAAATTTATTATAATTATTTGCTTAGACACTATGTTGCAAAGACAAGAGTGCTGCTTTGTTTTGATGTTGTGAAATATTCCTATCTATTTTGATTTGTTTTNTGAGTAATCAAGGGTTGCATGGCGCTCAAACAAAAGACGAATCGACGAGATTTGAAAATCGCATAACTCCGGGTTCGCGTAAGTCGGGGTATTACTGTATGTGTAATTTGAAGCAACTTGTAAATGTTGATTGTTCAGAAACCATCTTTCTCTAGGTGGCATTCAACCTCCCTTCTTGAATACCATTATCTTTGTTTTTGAAATATTTATAGTTAACCCATAAAAAATTCCTCTAGGATTACAATTTTCTTTTGTAGCATTAGTGCAGAGTCAGCCAAAATTACAGTGTCATCAGCATACATTAGTGCAGTGTTTCTCAAAGTTTTTGGTCTGCAACTCCCTTTTGCACTTAAAAATTTCAAAGGACCCCCCTGAAAGAATGGATATGTGTAGAAAAACATCCTGAAGGGGGGATTAATTTAAATTCAGAAGGAGTTAATTTCTTTTGTTTAATTGCATTGAAACACTCATAATTTTAATAGCAGATTTATTTTTAGTATCAGTAAAAATTAATAACTTATCTTTGGAACATCTTTGAACAAAATATTCTATGTATATGTTTCGACATTAGTAAACTCAATTAGTTAAGTTAAACATATTTTAAATTAAATTTAATGTGATGGGTGAACCTGCTTATTTTGGCACAATAAATTAAACCTGGGTTTAATATCAGTCAGGTCTCATAGCGATTTCTATGTTGCAAAGACAAGAGTGCTGCTTTGTTTTGATGTTGGTCATTACTGAAAATGCCATTTTGCATAAATAAGTGGTTGCAAATGGTAAGAGAACTGTCATTGCTAATTCAGAGAGTAGTGAATACTCTGCTTTCACAATAAGCCAAAAAGAATCTACTATTTCTAAACATGAATCCTGATGATTAACCTGACAAAAGTGAAGACATTTTAGTCTTTCTACATATTTTTTATTAACATAATACTCTTTAACTGTAAGCTTATAAGTGTTTTGCATTACTCTTTTTATTCAAATAAACCTATAACTAAGAATATGTTCCACCATTTTCATTTATTTTATAAGTAATCAGACAATTCTGATTATCTAAAATTACCAGAATTATACTGCAATATTGTACTATATAATTTTCTATTCTATCAAGAACAACTATATTTCGTAAGTATATGTCTTTAAAATTTCAAAGCATTAAATTCTTTATATTCTACATATATTTTATTATAAAATATCTGCAGAATATAAAAATTGATAAATAATTTTGCTCAATAACAAACATTTTGTAAATGTATTTGATTGTCTTAGTTCTGAAAAAATAAACACATAAGTGCTAAATATATAGCATGACTAAAAATATCTAATCAAAAATACTAATGTTAATCAATAATGAATTAAAATAGCTTTTGAATGTAACTGTTTCTGAATAAATTACATTTATTCAAAATTATACTTACTTTTTTGTTTTATCTTGGTCATTTCATATTGTATCTGCAATACAGTTTTAAATAAGTCAAGGTTTTATATATAAACATGCTGATTTTTTAAAACACAAAGTGGATTTATTATTCTTTCAATACATTAATAGAAGATAATATAAATTACCTGAATATTGCACTTTAGGATCTATTAATATTTATTATTAAACATTTGAAACAAACATAATTTGTATTATTAATAAAGATTATTTTTCATATATTAATATTATTTCAAAGGCTGTTTTTGATTCAAAGAAATAAATATATAATGATGATATTGTCAATAACAATAACAATGGTAACCAAAAATAATAAACTAGGAAAAGTTTATTATTATGCAGGTTTTAGAAACTGGATGCAAATGTCAAAATAAACACTTCAAAAAACCAAAATATCCAGCAAACAAATGATTTAATAAGTAACTAACAAACATTTTCAACTATTTTCATTGCTCATCATCAGATTTACATTATATTAGAACAAACAGGAATATATAAATTTTAAACAAAGATGGAATACCTTATTGGATGAGATTGTGAGCAACACAGATAATGCAAGCTTATCTTAGTTTTTAAAAAGTGTACAATAAGTTAAGCTTTTAAAATTCCTATATTCCTGTTTATGTTCTATGTTTGAATATAATGTATGCTTGATGATGACCAGTGAAAATGGTCAAAAATGCATGTTACTTACTAAATCATTTGTTTGCTGGATATTTTGGTTAGTTGGTGTGTTTATTTTATAACCATTTCAAATATTTAAAATTTTTAACACAGATCTTTATTTACATAAATAAACTTTGCAATAACTAACTGTTATCATTTGTGTTCACATAATAGATTTTTCTTTACTAACCTGCATAAATAAGTTCTAAATTTATTATAATTATTTGCTTAGACAATGAACATATATTTACATAATCAAAATGTATAAATTTAATGTAAAACTGAATGAAATTTATTATTATATTTAATCAAATCACCTTTACTTCTAACATTAGAATATTTATTATGAATTTTTTAGATTATTCAGATAATTTTTAATCAATATTTGATTACTCTTCTTTAAATAATTGTGATTCATTTAAATTCTGTTATAATGATTTCTGCAACTTACCTCCTCTACTCCATCCACCCTATTAAAAAAAACAATTAATTAATTAATTAATAAATATTAAACTGAATTAAATGTTTATAATTATAATTAATACTCAAAATTTTAAATTTTCTTACAAAATCATCTTTTATAAAGACTTATAAAATCTAACTAAAGCTATTTTTATGATTAACAATATATTTTTGAATTTGTATTCATTAAAATCAACAGGTCAAAAATGTTTAAAAAATAAATTGATAAATAATTACAAAAGAAATTTACCAAGCAGGAGGAATTCTTGAATCCTTAATAGGTGTAATTCCTTTTTCCACATCTTGATGGGATACCAAAGCAACTCTATCATCAAGGACCTAAAATTATTATTATTCTTTAGATAAAAATATGACAAATATGACATCTAAGTTATAAAACCTGCTTCTTAAACAGAAATAGAAAAAAAAATGCATTAAAACAAAATTTTAAAAAAGTTACCAATAAAAAAATTCTGTATATTATTATTTCTAATATTAAATTTAAAGATATGGATAATTGTCAACAGTATTACATACATAAGTTTTTAATAAGATAACAACATTATACCAACTAATGTTATTTCAAAAATCCAACGAAAAGTTTGTAGAAAAGTTTGCATTAAGCCCAACCCCGCTCGAGACATGACACATGACCTCCCCACCCCGAGTTTCATAATCCAAAATTTAATAGTCTCAATGTCAATCAATGTCCAATAATCCTTTTGATCATTTATAATCTTCAGAATATTTAAGTGTATTTAAATATTTTGAAGAATCATTCCTACATTTGCATAGTCAAAAGTTTTAATGAGAATTAAATTAATTGAATAAAATTATTTCCTGAGTTTATTTTGTCAGCTGTACAATGTATTGGGAGAAAATATATTGTCATTTTTACTTTCCTTGTTGTTATAAGATAACATAGGAAAGTAAAAATGACAATATATTTTCTCCCAATACATTGTACAGCTGACAAAATAAACTCAGGAAATAATTTTATTCAATTAATTTAATTCTCATTAAAACTTTTGACTATGCAAATGTAGGAATGATTCTTCAAAATATTTAAATACACTTAAATATTCTGAAGATTATAAATGATCAAAAGGATTATTGGACATTGATTGACATTGAGACTATTAAATTTTGGATTATGAAACTCGGGGTGGGGAGGTCATGTGTCATGTCTCGAGCGGGGTTGGGCTTAATGCAAACTTTTCTACAAACTTTTCGTTGGATTTTTGAAATAACATTAGTTGGTATAATGTTGTTATCTTATTAAAAACTTATGTATGTAATACTGTTGACAATTATCCATATCTTTAAATTTAATATTAGAAATAATAATATACAGAATTTTTTTATTGGTAACTTTTTTAAAATTTTGTTTTAATGCATTTTTTTTTCTATTTCTGTTTAAGAAGCAGGTTTTATAACTTAGATGTCATATTTGTCATATTTTTATCTAAAGAATAATAATAATTTTAGGTCCTTGATGATAGAGTTGCTTTGGTATCCCATCAAGATGTGGAAAAAGGAATTACACCTATTAAGGATTCAAGAATTCCTCCTGCTTGGTAAATTTCTTTTGTAATTATTTATCAATTTATTTTTTAAACATTTTTGACCTGTTGATTTTAATGAATACAAATTCAAAAATATATTGTTAATCATAAAAATAGCTTTAGTTAGATTTTATAAGTCTTTATAAAAGATGATTTTGTAAGAAAATTTAAAATTTTGAGTATTAATTATAATTATAAACATTTAATTCAGTTTAATATTTATTAATTAATTAATTAATTGTTTTTTTTAATAGGGTGGATGGAGTAGAGGAGGTAAGTTGCAGAAATCATTATAACAGAATTTAAATGAATCACAATTATTTAAAGAAGAGTAATCAAATATTGATTAAAAATTATCTGAATAATCTAAAAAATTCATAATAAATATTCTAATGTTAGAAGTAAAGGTGATTTGATTAAATATAATAATAAATTTCATTCAGTTTTACATTAAATTTATACATTTTGATTATGTAAATATATGTTCATTGTCTAAGCAAATAATTATAATAAATTTAGAACTTATTTATGCAGGTTAGTAAAGAAAAATCTATTATGTGAACACAAATGATAACAGTTAGTTATTGCAAAGTTTATTTATGTAAATAAAGATCTGTGTTAAAAATTTTAAATATTTGAAATGGTTATAAAATAAACACACCAACTAACCAAAATATCCAGCAAACAAATGATTTAGTAAGTAACATGCATTTTTGACCATTTTCACTGGTCATCATCAAGCATACATTATATTCAAACATAGAACATAAACAGGAATATAGGAATTTTAAAAGCTTAACTTATTGTACACTTTTTAAAAACTAAGATAAGCTTGCATTATCTGTGTTGCTCACAATCTCATCCAATAAGGTATTCCATCTTTGTTTAAAATTTATATATTCCTGTTTGTTCTAATATAATGTAAATCTGATGATGAGCAATGAAAATAGTTGAAAATGTTTGTTAGTTACTTATTAAATCATTTGTTTGCTGGATATTTTGGTTTTTTGAAGTGTTTATTTTGACATTTGCATCCAGTTTCTAAAACCTGCATAATAATAAACTTTTCCTAGTTTATTATTTTTGGTTACCATTGTTATTGTTATTGACAATATCATCATTATATATTTATTTCTTTGAATCAAAAACAGCCTTTGAAATAATATTAATATATGAAAAATAATCTTTATTAATAATACAAATTANATCCCTATACAGTAAATCTTTAAACACGTAATTATTTCTAGAAAACTTATTAAGCAAGCTATTCTATTTTCTATAAGCTCAATGTCATAAATTGTGATTACACAATACCATATATAATTTCAAATGATAAATCGTAAGTGAAGAAAAAGTAGAGCCCTACAAATCAACACAATCTCCACACACAAAAATCGCATGCTTCATACATATTGGCTTCTCACACTTCGAACAGCAATGTTTTGTTTTTCTATCTGTTTTTTTAGTACAGTCACCGCACCTGACATATTTACTACCCACTTTTTTGGAAACAGGTAATGAAGGTTCTCCCAGATGATCAGTAATCACTTTCGAGTTTCCCTTGGATAATGCATGTTTTGTTGTCTAATGCGAAGACTATCATTTGAGAAATCTAGAAATAAATCTAAAAATACTACAAATAACTATAACTCATAAACTTACTGTCAACTCAAAAATGTAACATCGACTATGAGGTCGGGTGTGACATACCCCAGTTACCTTTGCTCATGTGTATTTCCCGCTGATACAGACGCAACACTAAACTCAACACTGCACCTTGTCTCCTAATCCTTATCTCCAGCTACTGTGATGACGGGATTTCCATGACAAAAACAACATTAAATAATCTGCATTTAAAATCTTCTCGGGTACATACCCCGCCTCACTCACGCCGGGTTAATTTATAAAATTACAATTATAATAAATTTTATTTTTTCCTTCATTTAAACAAAGTTTTTTAACTCTCTGTGGGTGGTAAGAGGGCTTTTTCAGCAAGCTCATTAAGGTTTGGCTAAGCCCACAATGGAACAGCTGAGTGGTGAGGGCCTGACACATCTGTATGGACTGCCCTGAAAAAGTTCCTAAGGGTTTTTTGACCAGTCCAGATTTGATCTCAGGTCCCCAGAGGAGTAGACTGACATCTTAACCAACTATTTTAAAACTATTTTAAAATTAAAACTTTTCATAAATTTCAATTAAAAGTACAAAGTAATTGTTGTTTTCAGAAAATGAAGTCTAGTTTGGCATTTGAAAAAAATTTTAAATGGCAATTTATAAAATGATTTATACAATATTTATCTTTTTTTTTTAAAAAGTGATAATGATATATTTTGTATGATTAGTATTTGTGTTTTAAACATAATTTGATAAGTGTAAGGTATACATACATAACAAAATTANGATAACCCGGCATCTTCACAAACTCAGCCACCCTTCAGTCCACATTAGGCCGAGTTTTCGAGGCTCTACTGTATATAATAAATAAGAAACAACAAACAAATATAAAATATTTATTGAAGATAGAAAATGTCTTGACAAGTCCATTGTTCACAATCAGTAACAACAATCCAAAAACAATTTTCACTTAGACATAACCTTTTATTCCAGATCATCTCTGTAAATATATCTATATGAGAGTTTACTGATAACAAAAAACACAATTTTTTATCAACCTCTAACTCATTTATTACCACAAAGTTGATAAATTTAAAATTTAAAAATTTTTCAAGCACATCAAAGTGAATTTGTGTACAAGGAGTAATTACTGTAGTTAATTATGAGTGTTAGTATGAGAAAGTACTATAGTTCAATGGAGACCTGATGCTCCATGTCTGATGATAATGCTGGAGCAGATATTAACAGTAGCAGCTCATGGTGAGATTTCTCAGAGTATAGGAATGCATGTAGAATAGTGTTCCAGAACAAAATTTTACTGTATTACATACTGTTTTAAGAAGAGCATAAAAAGGGCTTACATCAAGAGTATCTTCATATTCTCTAACAGTCAGGCAGCTATTAAGGCAATTCCACTCAAGTTAAATCTAGACTAGTGTGGAATTTAAAATCCTTTTTAATCAACTGGCCTATGATAAAAACATTACTTTGGTATAGGTGCAAGGACATTCTGGGATAGAAGGAAATGAGAATAAGAAAGACTTGCTAAACAAGGTACATTTTCATTTATTACCAGTCAAGAATCTTTCTGTGGGATTACAAGTAGTACTATTTAAAAGTAATAAAAGACTGGAAGTTTAAGGAAAATATTGTAGAGTGAAATGAGACGACCAGGTATGAAATTTCTAGACTGATAGTTAAAGAATCCTTAATGAAATTAACATCTGATTTATTCACGATGAATAAGAATTGAGGTAGTTGGTTTTCTGACCAGACACTATCATATGCAAAAAACATCTGTAGAGAATGAGCATTTATAAAAAGAAACAAGACCATTTTGTTGGGACTGTGTTATAATGAATGAAACTGCTTTTCATATCCTCTTCAAATTTCTGGCATTACTTCACATAAGATCTGGAACTGAGCTTGAGAGCATGAACCTGTAAAAATCCTCTTATAATTTAAGGAAAGTGACTTTTTAAATAGAGAATAAAGACTTATTAGGAGTGCAATATAGCAGTAGATACAGGAGGGCACTAAAAAGTCTCCAATCCCAAACAAGAATAGTATAGTAAGAGATCAATTATCCAGCTTACAGAAATCCAGAATTACCAAAAAACTGACTATTTTCGAAACTGGTTAGTTTTAAATTTAATGGGC